CTGTGTTTTTATTTCCCTGTATGATAGCTGCTATGACGCACCCACAGCATTCACAGTCACACCCACCTCACCACTCGCCCGCGTCGGAGTCGTGCTACTCAGACCGGTGCACTGGTGGGGTCGGAGTGACTGTGGGTGGGGGGCGCCATAGTAGTTCCCATACTACTCACGCGTGTTGAATTCTTCATAGCAGAATTGCCCATTCCATTCGTAAGGAATCCATCAACCATTCGACGATTGATCTCGAAGGGAGGTCTTCGTGAAGAGTCTAAGGTGCGCGAGCTAGTCCAAGTCTCTCCCAAAGAATTTCCACAAGTTATACACTCAAGATTCAATTTCATGGCAGCGCCCACAGTATCTAAGATTTGAATTTGTGGGAACTTCTCCGCACAAAAAGAACAAAGAATATCTTCCATTAATTTGTGAAGTGCAGATTGTTGGATCATAATGAACTGATCCTCAGGATTACTCTCAGTGGATACATCCTTTGTCAATTTGAAAGCTTGAAACTTTCTAGCACTAGTCCCCACTTGATCGCTGGTGTTAGCATCACTTACAGAATCCTGTGAATGAATACATTCATCTGGAATATATTCATAACCAGTGTCATCGAGAGCTGTTGGATCTATGCCACTTGAAGCATCTTCAGAATCAATCGAAACGTCTCCAGAGTCAATCAAAACTGCTTCAGTGTCAGACGAAGCACTTTTTGTATCAATCTCTTCAGGAGATAGGTTAGGATCGGTTTTGCGTCGCTTTGTCACACAACATTCATGGGCGATTGGATCTGGATTTTTGTAACGTCTCTTACGAGATTTCTGTCTTCATTGATTCTGCTTTTTGAACCCCATTTTTCTAGTAAAAAGGTACAATTCACGGTCACTGGGAAAAACCTATTCACAAATCGATTCTCAGCAATGCGATGGGTGACGCTCCTTCCCCGAAACCAGAAGCTAATCACCGACAGGTGGCAGCAGGTGAAGGGAACAAGCGCGCGAAATTTGAATCATTCATCACTATTTCTACAATAATTCATGGTATTTTGAACGAGGAAATAATGATAATGATGAAATGTTATATTACAACTACCACATAAGCTAGATTCACCTGAGAGTTCATTATTTCAATGATGATGTCAATTCCTTCATCAGCATCAACATATTTTTCAGATAGAAGTCGTTGGAAAAATATGAAAAAATTTGTGCTCCATTGAAATAATATATACTTAAATTTTGGCCATATTTTTACGAATTAGGACATACCACTGAGCAGAAAAAAATATAAATAGACCAAAGAAATGAAAAAAAATATATCCACTGTTTTTTCATATATTTCAGCTACGTGTCACCAAAATTTCAGCTCAATCGGTTAAAAATTGTGGCACCTAGACGTTTTTGTAGATTAACACCCGTTTTAACCCGTTTTGACCCTTTGCAACCATCCTAATATTTTGGAGTTCGATTTTTTCTCATTTTTTTTTACCTACAACTCATACTACAAACATTCACGACCGTCGCTACAATTCTCGAAGACTTTCAAATTTCACCGTGGGCTCCCCTTAAAACAAATGTACATACCTGTGAAATGCATATATTTTTCTCACCTCGAATCGTACCTCATGCTCGCAATTCATCGACGTGAGAGATTGAATCAATTGCCTTAGCCCAAGTCGAAATTTTACCGGGTCTCCCAACGTAGTTTCAAGATCCGCTGGTGGGTTTAGGACGCTGAAAGTACGTTGTCCAGTGTGTAGGCGCAAATGCACCGATTCAACCTACTTTCGACGTAAATACCGTCTCTTTTTTCCATTTTTTCCAGATTGTACGTTGAAATTAGGTTGAAACTAAACGTATCCCCAACGTTCCACCACCGTACATTCTTTCCTTCCTTCCTCCCCCCCCCCTGCCCTCTTCACACTACCAGTTCCATTCTAACATCGATTAATTGATTAAATCTTGCATTAATTAATCGGTGGAAGAATGGGAAAAATATAAATATTATCAACTCGGTGAAACAAAAATGGGAAAAAAAGAAAAAAACGGATCGGTCCATTGGTTCTCGAGAATATCCTTGCTTGTAGTTCTGCCGTGTTCCCTTTCGGTCACCCATTCTTTTTCTGGGTTTACTCGCTACTGCTCAAGCTCAGTGATCGCAGGATATCCCGGTATGCTTCTGAGCTGTACAGTTGCTTGTGACGAGTTATATTTTTTTCGGGTTTATATAAGCAACTAATAAGAAGAAAAATAGGAAAAAACAGAAAGAAAGAAGGCAATAGAGTAATACAGGAAATTAAGAGGGAAGGAGCAGGGGGAGGAGATAAAAGAGAATTAGAGTCCATATAGGTCTAAGGCGTCTAAGGGTCGGACCCTTCATATAAAAGTCAGTGAGTGTAAAGATCCGATAAGTGTAAGAGTTAGTTGAGTCTGAAGGATCACGCGAATCTAAGGGTCAGTTGAACCTAAGGGTCAAAAGAGTACGAAGGGTCAGGCGGATGTAAGGGTCAGTTCAGTAAGGGTCAGATAAGTAAAAAGCTCAGTTGAATTTAAGGGTCAGTTGTGTTCAAGTGTCAGTTGAGTTTAAGGGTCAATTGAGTTTAAGGGTCAAATTAATCTAAGAGTCAGATGATTATGAGGGCCAGATGGGTTTGTTTTATCAATAAGCGTAAAACCTTCAGTATAGGACCAGATGGATATAAGGGTCAGCCGAGTTCGAAGAATCACACGAATCTGAGGGTCAAAAGAGAAGTCTGAGTTGAGTTTAAAGGTTAGATGCGTCTCAGTGATAGTTGAGTTTAAGGGTCAGATGAGTCTAAGAATTAGTTGAGTCCGAAGGATCATGCGAATTTGAGGGTCTGTTGAGTAAGGATCAGATACGGAAAAGCTTCAGTTCAGTTTAAAGGTCAATTGCGTCCAAGTGTCAGTTGAGTTTAAGGGTCAGATGGGTTTAAGGGTTATTTGCGTCCGAAGGATCAGGCGAATCTAAGAGTCAGTTGAGTCCAAGGGTCAAACAACTACAAAGGGTCAGGCGGATTTAAGGGTNCCCCCCCCCCTGCCCTCTTCACACTACCAGTTCCATTCTAACATCGATTAATTGATTAAATCTTGCATTAATTAATCGGTGGAAGAATGGGNGCGGATTTAAGGGTCAGTTGAGTATGAAGGATCACGCGAATCTACGAGTCAGTTGAGCCTAAGGGTCAAAAGAGTACGAAGGGTCAGGCGAATCTAAAGGTCAGATGAGTAAAAGGCTGAGGTGAGTTTAAGGGTCAGTTCAATCTAAAAGTCAGATGACCTTTGGCGCACGTGACCCTCAGAATCGATCTGACCCTCAGACTAATTTGGCCCTTATTCTCGTCTTAGACTCATATGACTCTCAGGCCCAATAGGGCCTTCGCACTCATCTGACCCATACACTCAATTGACCCTTACACACAACTGGCCCTTAAATTCAACTGACAGTTCAACTCAACTAAGGTTTTCAATTATCTGACCCTTACAAAACAGACCCTTGGATTCGCCTGACCCTTCGTACTTTTTTGACCCTTAGGCTCAACTCATCCTTATACTCATCTGACCCTTATACTCAATTGGTCCTTATACTCAACTAACCTTTCTGACCCTTGGACCCAACTCACCCTTCAGACGCACGATTGTTTGAACTTCGAACTAATGTTATTAATGTACTAACACTAATAATTTAGTTACGTGAGTCTTTAACACGGTAATGAATTTTTTCATTATCGTCAATAATGACCTTGATACAATCAAATGTGAACGTCGAAACTTACAACGTACGTTATCAGAAAACAAACGTCATTAACGTTGAGAGTACGTTTAATATACGGTGGATATTGAGTGTTTTTCAACGTCCATGGGCCTTCACGTTGAGATAAGTTGAAAGTACGGTGAAAATTCGGCGGAGAATTTGAACATCAAAGCAATGTAGATTTAAAACGTTGAAACTACGTCGGGAGACCCGGTAAAATTTTGACTCGGGAGACTTCAATTTTGATTCGTATAAATCAAGAGCGTGAGGAACTTTAAATCAAAGGTTCCTACCCTTGAATAATTCGCGTCAACATTGAACTGAATCCCGGCGACATTGAATTAAGAGCGCGGTTTTTTGACGGCGGAAAATAGGACCCCAACGTTGCCGCCCTCGATTCAAGAGCGCGACTTTGAAACAAAGTCGGCGCTTTTGATTTTTTTTCGATGTCGAGTGCGATTTTGAAACAGCGTCCGGATTTTTCTCAGTGTATACAAAGCTTTCACTAATCGTGGTCAAAAATTGTCTTGTTCCTAATCGATGAAATTTCTGACTTGCAGATATCATTCATATAGCTGGTGAATCAGGTTTTTTTTTACATTTGACTAATGTTTTTCCCACTCATTAGTAAAGGCGGTTTTGGTTACAAAATGTAATGTTTTTTCCAACATAAAAAGTAGAAGATTATCACTTTAATAATGTTCCCAGTCGGACTTCAAGATTAATAGATTGCGGATACATAACCACATAAAGATCTTCTCCATCTACATTCCCACAAATTCCTTTGAGATGAAATAATTGTTCTCATCTCGATGATGTTATTTAATTAAATGTAATGACCATTTGCACCAGCAATGCCCAATACCCGGTCGTAACTTACGTATTAAAATGACAGTTTTGCAGGGACTGATTGGTCCGAGACCAATATAAATAGCGACGTTTCACTAAATTATGTTAGCTTCATCAAACTGTTGACTTCTAGTACCAATTGTGTATTTTGGAAATAAATAAATGTGAGGAAACAAAACATCAGTCAGGCGTATCACTCAGGGCTATCAAAACCCGGTCCCTCCTTGTCGAAATTGAATCATTCCATCCTTGATTCATTCAAGAACCGTTCTGTTTCTGCAATTTTTTCGTGGAAAATAAAAAGTCCAGGCTAGCTCAGTCAATCGAGCATGTTTTCTAATCGCAAAGTCATGTGATATTGATACATTAATCCAGAATCTCCAATATTAGCTTTGAAAAAAGTTTATTCGTTGGAAAAAGTTTTTACAAAGTCATGAGAGGATCTCTATCAGTCTTCGATACGTCGATCACGACCTCACTTCCCAGCGAATTCCCAAGAATTCCCGAGAACTCCTGCAGAAATCCCCTCTCAGAGTCAGAATGATTGGTTAGAATAACAGCAATGTCACTGTGCACTGCATCCAGAATATCGTGATGAAGCATTTCCCCGGTGACATAAAGATCAGCTCTAACGTTTTTCAGAACTGAGGCGCCTGAACCCGCACAAACTGCGACAGTTTTGATCATCTTATCTATATAGAGAAAAAATCAAATGAATCTTCTCACGTATAATAAATCTGTTGCTTTATTTTATTTGCAATTCACACAAATACGATTGAGAGAATTTCAGTGGGACCTTCCCTGTTCATTAGTTTACGATCCGCTTTCCAATATACGTTATGAATTATTGTGCGGAGTTCCATACAAAAACCCTCTAGAGATTTCTTGAACTTTCTGAGAATTTTCGAGATTTTCTTAAAACTAATAAAATATATAAAATTCTAAGAGAATTAAAATTTAGAGAGAAAAAATCCCGCACCGTCCAGCCAGGATTCGAACCCGGGTCTCCCAGTTACGCGCCGGGCACTCTTCCGACTAAGCTACCGGGAACTACGGAAATTCACTCTCCAAATTCGCCTCACACACCGCTTAACATTGAATAATTCTAAGAGAAAACAAGTGGGGAATTGCTCTGGTATCGGATATAGTATAGCCTTCTTTGCTAATAAATTAGCAATATGCTTCCGAATGATTACTCTATATATTATTTTCTCTATCGTATGTAATTCATACTTTTTTCATTTCATTGAATTGCATAATTTTCTTCTCAATTCATTGTGTTGAATTTTTTACTTGAGTAAATTCTACCATGATTATTTTTTTCTATTTTTTATAATTTTTATTTTTCATTTTTATTATGAGCGGAAATTAGTTTTGGTTCTGAAATTATTATTTCGAATCGTAATGGGTTACGCTCACTTTAATCCACTCTTACTGGTCGCATTTCAACCCAGAGCCAGCGCAGCGGACTGACACTGATTTCTAATATTTTTTAACAGGTTCATTTTCTCTATAAGCTATATTTAGGAATGAAAACTTCAAAATTTCCAAATATCATCATAAAAATCAAATTAATGAAGGCAGTTATCATAACCACCTTTCAACTGAGACTTACTGGCATCCAAAGGAACATTTTAATCTATTATTGAATCTATTTGAAGCCTAGTCTACAAAGACATCGATGAAATTTGGAAAAAAAATGAATTTTCAAAAAAATTGGAATAACGATTATTGCTATCACCTTCATGTTCGAACTCGGTCAAGGGGACATGGAAACAAATTTTTTCAGCCACCATTTAACTCATTCCGAACTTTTTTTTTAGTTATCGTAAAAAAACCAATTTTTGAAAAAATTCAAAAATAAAAAAAATCAATCAATGAATTGAATTTTAATCAATGGTTATGGATAGGGCCCAATAATACCTAGATTTGAAAAAAAAATATTCAATTCCATCGATTCATTAGCGAGCAATCGAAGAAAATCAAAGAAAAAATTTGATACATACACACATACATACGTACATACGTTCGGACACGATCTAAAAATTGCATTTTCGGACTCGTTGGATCACATTGGGTTGATATAACATGAAAAATCAAAAACTTAAATTTGACCGATTACAATGCTTCCATTCGGAAGCAAAAAATATATATGTATATAGAGCACAATATTGCATACTGTAGTGGGCAACGTAGAAACTTCTGGAAAGTTCTAGGAGTTTCTGAAGAATTCTTCAACCTCCTGGAAAAATTTAGATCATTCCCAAGTTTTTAAGAACATTCTTGAATGTTCGGTAAATTGCAAAAGTATTATTGGGTTTCTTGGGAAGTTCGAAAAAGTTGGGTGATTTTCTAAAAATCCTCAGAACTGTCAATCCATAGAAGTTGTAATGGTTAGACGTTTAAATATGTCCCGCGTGCACAACATCAGAATTTCTAAAGAAGGGCTATAGAGGCGCTGGACATTGCAAGAGGGTCACATCTCTTGTAGGGATGGGCGATGTTTCAAAAATGATCGATTATTTAAAAAATCGACGTTTTTCTTACTACACAGGAAAATAAATTTTTCAATAATTTTATTCTTCTCGTTTTTATTGAAAAATATATATTTAAAAAATACAACCCGAGGACCGACGGTGATGGCTGTGTGGTAGCCTAAAGATTCTAATTACGTCATAATATTTGCTGAAGATTTAAATTCTTTTAAACAATTTATATCCTTATTAAATGCAGTCTCAATTGAATTTTATACATACACTCCCAAGGAAGACAGAAATAAGACAATTGTATTGAAAAATCTCTATGGAAATTTTTCTGAAAAAGAAATTTCTCAAGCTTTAAAAGATCTCAATTTACCAAATGTTAAAATCATAAAAATTTCCAAGATAATTCTCGGTAAAAATGTTGGAAACTTTGCATTTTCGAATGATTCCAAGTATCGAATGATTCCAATTTATCAGGTCTGACTAAAATTGAAGTTCTCTTGTACCAAAAAAACTCTTGGAAGCCATTGCGTAAAAACAATCGCTTCCAATGTAAAAAATATCAGAGACTGGGACACTCCAGTGCTAATTGCTCTTTTGGTTTTAGGTGCGTAAAATGTAGTAATGAACACAATCCTGGTGAATGCCCTCTTAAGGAAAATTCTGATAGATCTTTTCTTAAATGCGCAAATTGCAACAATTCTGGTCATCCTGCAAATTATAAAGGATATCCCTACTACCAAAAAGCACTCGAACTAGTCAAATATGATCTACATTCAAATACTCATAAGAAGAATGATAGAATTCGAAATATTTCCAACAGAATTATCCCTACAGTATCTTATGCTAATAAATTGAAACCGAGGAAACCCATTAAATCTAACGCTAATACTAGTCAGCTACCTCTTTCCCGAAATAGTTTATCAATTCCTAGCACTAATAAAAGTGATATTGAACCTAATCTAACTCCAGTTAACCCTGATTACACACCTCCATGGTGTAATCACTACCTCACAATAATACAAATCAAGACATCGTAACAATAGATTGTCGGAATATTATTTCAATCAACGTGAATCCCATACGCAGACAGCAGAGAAGATTCTTTTTACAAAACTTTTTAGAGACTAACAATATTGATATTGCTCTAATATGCGAATCAAAACTAAATAAAAATCATAAACTTAGATTCGACAATACAATATGATCAGAAATGATAGAATTGATTCAAAATTTTCTGGAGGTACGGCAATATTAATTCGAAAAAACATTAAATATACAATTATTAACTACCCGAATTCGAACAATAAAAAAATACTCGAATATTCAATTATAAAAATAAATACTGTTAGTTATAAACCTCGTTTACTTATCAGCGTTCATGCCACAAATTCAGACAAACCTAAATATATCTTTCTTGAGTAATTGAATTTCTTATTTAACGAATTAAAATTGATGGATGATAGATACTATTATCTCATAATGGGGGACCTGAATAGTAGACACCCTTCCTACGGTGATTACGCAAGTAATGATCGTGGCCGGGACCTCAGATTCTGGGAATTAGCTAACGAACAACGATTTAAATTAAACCTCATACCACCTACAGATTTCACTTATATTAATTCTCAATCTTTTTTAGATCTAACACTTATAGATAACAGGTTGAACATATCAAATTACTTAATTAATGATAAAATTCCCACACTACTATGATAGTGATCACAAAGCGCTATTCATTCAATTAGAATTAGGAAATAACACAAATATTATACTGAACAATGATAATTCAGATAGTTTTTGTATATATAAAAACACAAATTGGGAAATTTTCACTAAATACCTTAACGATAATTACAATATTAACATCCCAGATGACAGAAATCTTTTTAACACTGAAATTGATAATTATGTTGAAGAACTAACTGTTTTTATTACAAAGCTATTGAACTGAAAGTCCCCAAAGGTAAGCAAACAGGAAATATTAGTAAATATTCCAATTGAAAAATTTTAAAACTGCAAAAAGACAAATCAAAATTATTAAATATCTATAATAAATTATTAAAAAATGATCCAACTAAATCGAATCACCAAACTCGAGAAATCCAACATTTACTGATACAATGCAAGAAGTTATTTGACTCTGAATTTAATTCTGCAGTAGAAAAACATTGGCAAATTATCTATAAAAAGATAAATTACAAAGACACTGAAAAATTTATGCCAAAGATCAATAATATTTTTCGCCCCAAGAAAAACCAGATTATCTGCGAATTGGGAGTCAACGACAACGATTTAGAGTTCAGAGAGGCTGGTTGCAACCCGAATAATATTCCGATAAATAACAACGAATATATTATTAACAACGAGACGGATCTAATTAACACTATGGGTGCCCATTATTAGAGAGTCAATTTACCTAGATATCTTAACAATAATACAATATTGAAAGAATTAATAGATAATAAAATATATAATTTTAAAAGACAAATGGAATCAGATATTAATGATAATGTTACAGTTACAACATTTAATCAAATTAAGAAAACCTCTAACGCAGGCGATAATTCTTGTATTCAAAACTACTTTACGAACTATAGTACAGTAAAATTAATTCTGAAATCCCTTCCAAATAAAATTTCGAGTGAAACAGATAGAATCCCTCCAATAGTATTGAGACACCTACCTGAGGTGGTCATTGTGGATCTTACCAAGGTGTTTAATAGTTCTTTGAATAATTATTATTTCCCTCAAAATTGGAAAATTGCTATCGTGATTCCAATTTATAAAACTGAAAAGATATCGATTGATCCTGCAAGTTATCGCCCGATCAGTATGAGTCCTGCCTTGAGCAAAGTTTACGAGGCGGTTATCAATAATTTAATTCTTGCATATGAGAGGAAGAACAAAGTTATCCCTGATAACCAATATGGCTTCAGGAATAACCACTCCACTTTCCGCGCAGTAAATAAATTGTTAACGGATGTCAGTGAAAATTTCTTCAGGCATAAAATGGTCGGAGCAGTTCTTTTGGACCTAAAAAAGGCGTTTGACTCCGTTTGGATAAATGAGGACCCTCTGGAATATGATACCTAATAAGAAATTTAAAGTTATTAATCATAACTTGTTGTTGAGTTCAACTTTTTTAATAACAGAAGATTTACAGCAGGGGACAATTAATTCCCCCTGTTTGTTTTTCATATTTACGG